AAGCTATAGTGGTAGTTGAAATTCATGGGTAACCTTTCTAGTGACAGAAGGGTTGAGGTAACCGGATAACTTTCTTTGTTTGAATATTTATTGTAACTCTATGTGAGTATGCTATTTATTGCATGAAATTGTTTAAAAATAAGCATTGCATTAATGTTGAATGAAAATGGCTTTTGATCAAATGAATGAGTAAGAACATGTGATTTCATACTTTACATAAATATATTCTATGTGTTAAGGATACGTGTGAATGTAGAACCTATGAATGGTTTGGAAAGCATGATCATAGGGGTAGGAGTTCACCCGTATGGAGTATGGTGATAAGACCATACGGCATATTCTCTTTAGTGCCCGACGGGATACGGTGTTAGAGAATTATACCTCCTTAGTGCCTTTTAAGGTGCAGTATTGGAGATGATCTCCTTAATACCTATTAAGGTACAGTATTGGAGATTTAGACTCCTTAGTGTCTGTGTGACACTATGTTGGAGTCAATGACACCCTATTGTGTGTATTAGGGGAAACTGTAGTCCAGAAGTGAGATAAAACACCTTTGGTCAAGTGATTCTACCACTAAAGGTAAGCTTAAGGCTAATGAGAGTGTACATTGGTCTAAGACAAACCTATATTTTCATGTCAGGGTGATTTGGAGGTCCAGTCGGCAGTGATCATGCTATATATTGTATATGTAGAAAAGTGATTAAAAGTAGTGATTATAGTGATAAAAGAAGTGAATTGACACATATTGTTGTGATTTGAAATGAGATATGTGGTATATGCTATGTTAACAGATATATTATGCTTTACTTTCATCTAGTTTCATGTGATAGTTAATAGTAATGAGTTATTCTGTTACTGAGATTTTTATCTCACCCTTGTAGTTACATTTTTACAGGACAAAGCAGTGATTAAGATAAGAGAAAAGAGTCTGGACTGGCATAGTGGTGTCATGGTCATGTGAAAGCTCTGAGTTTGTGTAATGAACTAATTTAGTGTGAATTTTGTGTATATGAGTTGCCATAAGAGATTGCATGCATAATTTGAGTAATTATGAGTTGTTGAAATGTAGGAATTGTGATGAATGTTTTTGAGTTTTGGTGAATCTTGTCTCATGTATAAAATTATAATGAAATGAGTAATTTGAGGCTAAGATTTAGTTGATTATGTTATGAATGTGTAAAGTAGTGAATTTGTGGTGACATGGGTTGAGAAAAGATCAAGTAGGCCAATTTGCATTAAGTAGTGAAATTTTGTTAAATGTGAAAATGGGCTTTTGAATAGCCAAATTTTAATATACATGTATATATGTGATGGAAGTGGTTAATCAAGTGTGTTAGGTCATTTTGTACTTAGTTTAAGGCCTTATGTGATCTAATGAGATAAATGGATCGATTTGAGTGCTTGGGTGTGTAAAATTCTTTGAAAAATGACTTTTTGCACCCAAGTGTTTAAATTTTAATCGAACTATTAGATCGTATCCAAACCTATCTCATTAGCTAACTTATGAAATAAGTTTCATATGGGCACTTAAATCACTCTAATCGGATGTCGTATGTAAAAATGGCATACGTCGGAAGTTCATCATTTTTGCTATCAAATAATAGTAGAAAATCCAGACTAGTGCACCGCTGTGCATGACACAAATGAGAACTGGGTGTGTGGCTTTATGCCACAAGCCACAGCGTAGGTATTGTACGCCACGGCACATGGACCATATTCCAACTTGATTTTGTTCTTTATGATACATGCATTGATTGATATGAATGCTCATAACTTGTTTCCGCTATGTATACTCTAAAACTATTACAATTTTGATGATTTTACAAAATGAGTTTTGGGCCAAGTTTTTCAAACAATGTATTTAATTACTGTGGTAATTTAGTTAATCTTCTCCTATATCTAGCAGATATGGGGGAGAGTTACACACTTATGTGTATTTTATAGTTTATCTTGAAATAATCTGAGAGACATTTGGAATTTTCTCCAAGTAAATTTTGAGAGAAAGTTTCTCTCAAAAAGATTTGGAAGAAATTTTACAAATTGTTATAGGTGAAAAATTTAAATAATTCAACAAATACTTTTCTCTCGACTTGTTTTGAGAGAAACATTTCTCTTAACTTAATATGAGAGAAATTCTTTCTAATTGTTCTAAGAGAAATTTTCTCTTGAAAAAAACTAAGAGAACATTTTTCTCTACTTAGTCTAAGAGGAAATTCTCTCAACTTTTTCCTAGAGAACATTTCTCTCAATATTATTTGAGAGAGAATTCATTGAATTCCTTTTAGATAAATCTGAGAGAAATTTAATGAGTTTTTTTTTATTTTTTTTATTATCAATTTTTTGTTTTTGTCAAATATTTTTTCTTTCTAATTTTCTCACATTGTTCTCTTCAAATTTCCCTCTATTTGGATTTTGTAAGAAATTCTGTGATTAATTTTTTAGAATAACCATTTTAAGAGAAATTTTGAGACAATTACTTCTCTCTAATCTTTTTTCGGAGAAAATTTCGTGACAAAATTTCATGAGAAAATTACTGGTTTTTTGAAGATAATTGCATTTTCTTTTTTATCACCCTCCAAAAACTTCCTTTGTCGCTTTCCACGATTTGTGATTGTAGTCTAGGATTCAATTTCATTTTATATCATCTCTTTATTTCTTGGGTTATTGACAGATTGGATGAATTAATAATATTAACTACGTGGGGTTGGTATATATAGATATGTCTATCCTATGAATCCATCTGCTCTCATTAACACACACTACCTCCATGTAAATCTATCCTAGTTTAGGAAGAACAAATTAATCCCTAAGAAGTACAAGGAAATAAACACATCCACACTTACATTTACAGCAATGAAATAAGAAAAGTATACCCTTATTTTTATTAGCAGTTATATAGTAAGAATGCATATGAAAAGTTGAAGATTCCACCCAGAATATTGTAGTGTAATAATAGAACAGAATTATTATACCGAGACTCTAAGGGGAAAAAAAATCAAATATAACATATCGATAAGGCATAACTAGCTCTTCATTTGAATGGAAAGAAAAGTTAAAAAAGAAAATGAAGAGAAGAGAAAACTAAGAAGAAAAAATTATCTCTTATTGCATTTGGATGAACAGAAGAAAAAGAAAATAGAGAACAAACAAAGTGAACAAATATTATAATGGTTACAATGCCCTTATATCAAAATATATTATATTTCATATAATTCTTTATACAAATAAATTGAAGAAAAAATTGTATTAAAATTAATTTCATCAGAATAATTTAAAATATATTTATTTATAAAAATATATATTTTCATGTTATCATATTTAAAAACCAAATAATATACTCAAAATATATTATTTTTCTATTTAAAAAATTATTTAAAATAAATTTATTTTTCATTTATTAAAGTTAAAATAAAAGAATTATAGATCATTTCGTCAATTTGGAATCCAACAGCAAAAGATCTAGAAAAGGGAAATAAAATAAAAATTGCAGATTAATTTGGCATCAACGTTGCTATGCTCCATTTACCATGAAATTGAAAAAAAAAAAAAAAGGAACTAGAGTTAGGGAAGAAGGATGTCATTGAAGTTGCCTGGGTTGAGAAAAAATACGCTTAGGTGGAATATGATGTCGCTACTTCGGTCGAAGATGGTGAATCTCCAGCAGAGGCAAAAACGATGGATAAGAGAGGGAGAAAGGAGGGGCAAAGGATGGAACAAAAATTTCTCTCAAAGTCTCTTCACTTGCAAAGAAAAAATATGGTGAGCCCTACATCTCATTTTCTTGTCCCACTTTTCTCTCCTCATACAAACTGGAAAAAACTTATTTTCTTTCTTATTTTCTTCTTATATTTTCTGTCCTCCCGTATTTTACTCCCATCCAAACAGAGTATTAAAATCTTAAGAAAATGCATTTATTGTTTCAAGATATAATGATGCGTTAGTTAATTCATACATTTTTAACTATAAAATGCTAACAGAATCAATACAAATTACTCTGAAATCAAAAGGATTACAAACTACAACAACAGCAAACTCAAAATAAGCAAGGGGGAAAAAAAGAGGGAATGTGAGAGTTTATCATCATTTACACACCTATGTGACGAAATGTGAGAGTTTATCACAGGTTTGACAAAAACTGTCTTGAGTTGAAAAGCTCGAATTCCGTTATAATATTCCTATAAAAAAAAAGTTAATCCCAACAAATTCTTACATTAATTTTTAAATATGGCTTAACTCAATTACCTAGCTTCTATATAATTTTGGAAACATGTACTTCAAGCCTTGAAAACATTTTCATTTTTACTTCCTGGCCATTGATTAATCTATCGGTACATCTTTCTGAGATAAATAAAAGTGGAAGTTTCGAAGGTCTAGATCAAACATTTAAATTATGTCTTTTCAGAGCGAACCCGCGTATAAAGCTAAAATTATATTGCCACATGTAATAATCAAGACGATAACATCCGTTTCACTTAATGGGGCATATTACATTCAAAAGTAAAGCAATTAAGGTTTATGCTTTCTTAGAAAAGTTCCAAATATAGGAAATGAAAGTAAAATGAACGAAAAGATTGATGTTAATGATAGTATGATACTTTCAAATTTCAAACATCATCAAAGTAAAAATAAAGGGACCAAAAAAAACGACCTACTAACCTAAACCAAAAGTTAACAATAGTAATATTTACCAAAAATAAGCGTGCAATTTGAATGTAAGAAAGTTAAAAGAAGAGAGGTATACTGAGTGTGAAGATGTGCTATCTTATCGTAAGCCAATTAAATGAAAACGATGATACCACAAAACAAAACAAGACACCATTCCTTTGGTTTCCTTTGCTCGTCACTCAACTTGGTTTTGCGTGGGTCCCACAAGTCGCACGGAATGTTTCGCCTCAGTGTTCAATATTGAGCCACGAGTCAAAGTGTTCCCTCTCCTCCAATCAAACCTCGACAACGCAATGTCCTTCACGCCCACACGGCTTCAACTTTCCGATCCTGAAATGACAACACTGTACTCAAACAAACCCACACTCTCTCTCTCCCTCTCTCTCGTGCCTCCGTTCCTTACTAAACCTAGCCTTTTCTTTTTCTTTCCCTTCCCGAAACCAACACACAGTTTTTTCCTTTTACTCATTTCCTCTACAATTTATCAGCACAAAAATAGAAAGATGCACATGTTATAAACACCATTCGTTCCCTCTTTAAGCGTTCTTGTTACTTTATTTCTCTCTTTAGGGTTTCCTTTACTGCTATCTATCTGTACTGGGTTCTCTGAAAACTTTTCCTTCTTTATCTTTCTGACAATAATTGTGGAGAAGAAGAAAAAAATGGGGAGAGGTAGGGTTGAGCTGAGGCGTATCGAGAACAAAATCAGCCGTCAAGTGACGTTTTCAAAGAGACGAAGTGGACTGTTCAAGAAAGCTCAAGAAATCTCCGTGCTTTGTGATGCTCAAGTTGCTGTGATCATCTTCTCCAACAAAGGCAAGCTCTATGATTGGTCCTCTGATTCCAGGTTCGTTCCTGATCTCTCTGTGATCGATCTCATCGTTAATTTTCTCTTTCTTCTAAGTTCCACACACACACACAATATATCAACTTGTAGGCCTCATTTTCTTGTTTTTGGATCTTATTTCTAGTCACCATCAACTTGCCATGTTATCTATCTTGCGCTGTAATTAAATTTCTTTATTTTTTTCTGTCTTTTCTATGTTTTCTTGTGCTCCAATATTTCATAGTCTTTCTTTCTTGTTTCAAACTGAGATCAAGTATATTATTTACTATTAGTTGTCCCAGTTTCGTCTGAAAATTGCTTTACTTTTTATTACCTCTTCCAACTTTGATAGGTAAGTATTCATAGATTCCACTGATAAATTAATAATGAAGTTATGTCTGAGATCTGGTGTCATGCTTTGCTCCAAAGATGCGCATTTGTAGGCTTGGTATTTTTCTTCATTTATAACTTATATTATAATATATACATAGACATATGATTGTAACTAAATAGTCATGATATATACCTTAGAGCATTGCGTATATAGGGGGTCATGTAGCCATTCTTGGTGTAATAACCTAGCATTTAGTGATTTGTCTAATATATTGCTGCTTTGTGTCTAGTCAAGTGGAGGCCATTAATTTAAAAAATATATATTTGGTTTTTAATTTTTAATTTGTTGATAGATAAGGAGAAGGGGGAAAAAGCATGATATTTGCTTTATAGTATACTCTTAGTTCTGTGAGAATTAGGGTTTTTTGATTAGACAGAAACGTAAGGTTCACAGAAACTGCACATTGATTTTGACTGGTAGTCATTACACATTATAGGATTATAATAATATAAGAATTATTTTTTCAAATCTAAAACCATTTAATCAGTCTGCTGGCGAAAAGAAAATAGTCATAGGAACATGATTACAACTAGAGTATGGGATTTATACTTTGTACCAAATCTTATAATTTATAACTTATAATAGTAGTTTTTAAAGAATAAAATTTTAATATTATAGATATATAGAACATAAGTAAATACACACACATGTACATTGCTGATATGCTTGAAGTTATTCATGTTCCTTTTTAATTTTAACATATATAAGACACAAAAATCTCCTTGAGCAAGCACTTTTTTTTTTTGGCCTGACCTTAAGCAAGCACTTAGCAACATCCATTTTATCCAAGACACAGGTCTGACAGGATCGGATTAAAAAATATCATTTATGGATCAGATATTAATCAATCATCAATCAATCAACATATAATATAAAAAAAAATGAACAAGCTGTTATTTCACCATTTATTTATTATTTGTCGATAAAAGTGTTATCATTTTAAGAAAATTTGGAATATCATTATGTGAGCATGTTTATCGTTTAGATCAATTCATTTGAAAGTACACATAATGGATATAACTGGAGGGTAAACAAATGAAGACCAGCTGTTCCTTTATAGTAATTAAAACCAACAATGTAGGCTAAATTGTTAATTATTAAGTTATGTTTAAACGAAACAATACTACTTGTGTCCTTTCACTGTTTCGAAAACAGGATAACAGATTGCCTTGATACTCTCTTTTTTGTACCCTTTTTCTCAAATCCCAACAGGATAACAGGTTTGCCATTAAAATGAAGCAGGAAATTCAAGAATTAAATTATCCAAGGACGGTACAATTTCTCTTCCTATATGGCGTACGAAAATAGCATATTTTTATTCTTAGCGGAATTGATATAGTGATGTGGGCCATTTTTAATAAAGTGAAACGAGGCCATTTTTAATAAAGTTTGAAATAAGAATCTGTATTATTGCTGCATTGCCATTAGAACCAAAAGTTATAACTAATAAATGCAGACCAAGAATGATGATGTTTCCCGGCAAATCAAGGTGTTTCGTATAAATAATACACATTTAGGCATTATATATAACACACACATACATAATATTCCCTCTAATTCTATTTATGAGTGACTTCTAACATGTTTCATCAAAATAAAAAAAAAACCTTAAACTTTATTAATTTTGTTTTAAAATTTAATAAATTTTTACCTCTACCCCTAATAAGGAATATAAAAAATAATAAAGTGCTTTACAAATTAGACCAAATTAAAATTAATCTTTTCTCTTTGCCCTACAAATAAAAGAAGAGTGGAGTACCAAATTTTAGTATACCAATTAATTGTTTTTGGGTGGTGCAGCTTGGATGGCATTCTGGAACAGTATGAGAGGCAAATGCACACTGAACAACTTGCTGAAGCTGACAACGAATCGAAGGTATTTAAATCAGTAACCTTACTTGTACGTAACCTTCAATTTATATTAGGCCAAAAAAAATTAATTTATTACTTTTTGGCATAACCATGAGTTCACAAAAGCTAATAAAATCAAGAGTAATAAAGCAAATTGACACTTAAACTATAGATCCAAGAGGGTTTAGGACCTTAACCTTATTTTTGATATAATTCAACTTCTAAAAATGATGTAATCTGACTTTATTGTTAATAAAAGTTAATTTTGACTATTAATTGATTAAAAAATGCTAAAAAACATAAAAAATTATAGAAAAAGTCCAAAAAATTATAGTAAATAATCCAAAAATTACAATCGAAAACACAAAAAATTATAGAAAATGACCAAGACAATTTTATTGGTTCTTTTTTATAATTTTTAATATTAGTTTTTGATTAACTAACGGTCAAAGTTAACTTTTATTAATGATAACAGTCGTGTTACATTGCTTTTAAAAGTTAAAGGTGAACATTACACTATAAATAAGTTTAGGGTCTCAAACATTCTTGGAGTCATTTAAGGATTAATTTGCTCTTTTACCCTGAAATCAAAGGCATCCTAAATAAAAACATGTGAGGATGTTATACTTACCTTTAAGAGGGAGAATATTTTTCACGTTGTATATTTTGGAAAGAACAGCGCTAATGAATCAAACACAAAAATTTAAAATATGTTGGCATTATTGTGTCTTATAACAACCACCATGTTCCCAAATTACAACGACCTCTGCAGTAACTCAAAAAGTGTTGATGAAAATTGTTCCTAAGGTCCTTCAGAAATATTTTGGTTTTTTAAATGTCCTTGACTGTCAATTTTACAAATTTTAGATTTTAAAGTGTAATGTTATATATCTTCCCTTTTTATTCATGACTCACTTAATAAATCCTTTATATATAATACAAATAGAAAAAAAGTATTATATAAATTGAAAAAAGTTAATTCATGGATTTAATCTCAATTTAGTACTTTAATGTGTGTATGTGTGTGTTTGTTGAAGATAATTTTTATTTTTGCCTGTAACTGTCTCCTGAATTGTGTGAGTAGGGAAACTTGTCCTTGGAGTTCTACAAACTAACAACTAAGGCTAAAATCTTGGAGAAGAACATAAGGTATAATCACTCTGATTTCACTGTTTACACTTTACTATGAAACTTCATTCTCTTTTCAATTTAAATACTCTCATATTGAAGCTAGAAAATAATAATTGTTACCTTGAGTAAAATTTAACCTTTCAACTTATGTGAATGGGTTAAAGTTTCCTAGTATAATTTTTTTATAAAAGAAAAAATACAAAAAGAATGGCATTTAAGTCCTAAAAGATTAAATTAATAATATGTAGTTGGTTCAAATCTTTTTTTGAAAAATGGATGTAAACATTAATTCAGATAGTTATAAATAAAAAATATCAATTATAAATTGACTCTTAAATTTACAATTGTTTGAATTAATATTTACAATTTACTTTTTTAAATGTTGGCAGCGAGTTAATTGTCATTAAATGGATCTTTTGATACATAATTGTCATTCTCCAAAAAATATAGGCGGTCCAAACTGATTTGTAGGTTAATGTAATAAACTAAAAATGAGTTATTATCCTGCCATAATGATTCCTATTGTTATCTCAAATTCAACCTCTGGAATCTCTTGAAAAGTTAAGATGAAATTAAAGGATTTGATAAGATTAGACCCTTCAGTTTTTTCAATGATTTTTATAGGTTTTTCCCATGATTACATTATGTTACGTAAAGTAACTCTTGTGAATGGATCAAATGTGTTACCAAGTTAAAAGAAGATCATCAGTTTAAACCTTTCTTGAAAAAATCATAGACTCATGACTATAAATATCATCTTCAATATAGGAACTACGGAGGACATGATCTTGAGGTCATGGGATTGAGAGAGCTTCAGAACTTGGAGCAACAGATCGACACAGCTATAAAGCGTATTCGAACCAGAAAGGTAAATATATAACAATATTAATTAAGAATTACATAAATAATTATTAGAATTATTAGTTTTCATGATTGAGTGTTCAACTTGATTTATGCAGAACCAACTGATGAATGAGTCCATCTCGGAGCATCAGAAGAAGGTAACGTTATATATATTTTAATTATGAAATTGATGCTATTGAAATGCTACACATGCACCCTGAAATAGATATTTAGTGGAGATAATTTTCAACAGAACAACCCTTAATTTGGTGGAGATAATTGCATGCAATGACATCTCATGTTTGCATATATGTTCTTTATGATGTTCAAAATAAATAAAGTTTTTGGAAAACATAACTATTGGTCTTGATAGTTTTAATGTGTTTAGACATAGATCTATTTAGTTTTTTCTTTATCTTTAAATACATCAAGTTTATCCTGCATGCAATATTAATCACTTCAATTTTTTTAATGTCCAAAAAAATGATAAGGTAATACTAATGATGTTAAATATGTTGGCCTGTGACTAATGCTATCAATTTTTGTGTTCAGATGTAATTATCTTTCAACAGATTAAAACATGCATTAAACATGAAATAGAATAAAGTAGACAATGTTGTTAATATGCTAAATCATAATTCTACGTTAGTACAAACAAGTGGCTTTAGTCTCAGGTCAAGAACAATTAGCAAATTTTTCATTCTTATATTGTTTTGGAAATATTTACGGCAGAAATTTCTCAAGTGTTTGAAAGGTAACATGCATGTAGCAAATCTATAACAATTTAAATGATATTGTCCCTCAAAAACAAATCAAATCCTAATGCCAGACATTAGTTTCATTAACTTCTACTTGGGAACTCCATTTAACTTCTCTTACCAATTTCAAGATGGTTTCTGCATGAAGAATAATTATAATAATAATATATGTAAATTAAAAATATATAACTTTGTAGTGTGCACATGACAGGCAAGGGCATTGCAGGAGCAAAACAACTTGCTAGCAAAGAAGGTAGAATATAATTCATACATGCTCCTAATAATGTTCCACTATACTTGATCTTAGCCAAAAGGCCGAGAAAGGTGTAAGTTCCACTATACTAGCTAGTCTTCTAGAATAAGTTGAACAATTATAAATTCAAGAGTTTGAGTTTTGTAAATAAGATATTTAAATTTTAAATGTAACTATTAAATTGTAACTCATATTACTGCTTAAGTCAATATTTATATAACTTATATTTTTAAAAATTTTATTAGAGACTTTACTATTGTTAGGTTCAATATTTTAAAACCTAATTGTCATTCTGTCCATTGAAAGAGAAACTTACCTTATTTACAACGGTATATTTACGACATGTGACCATTTAGTTATAATTTTAGAAAGTATCTAAAATTACTTTTAGAAAAATATCTAATTAACTTCTGTTATTTACTGACAAAACTTCAAGTCTCTGGAAAATAAACGGTGTCTATGTACGTAATCATAATTTCGGTAAAATTTGAGAGAATTCTTTGTAATTTACTTCTTATTTTCAAAAGAATTTGAGTTTCTTTTTCTATTAAAAAAAAACAAGAGTCTCTCTAATTCAATGAAAACTCAGGAGGGTTCTGAATAATTTGTTTTAAAAAAATAATTTGTAACTTACATATAATTTTATTTTAATAGTCATGACAGTTTATGTATGATTCTATAGGTGAAGGACAAAGAGAAGACACTGGCTGAAAATCCAGAGAAGGAGAAGTACCGTCAGGGACATAATTTACAAGCCTTCAAAGTACCTTTGCCACAGCTACAGCTTCCTACACTAACACTCGGGTATCTCTCTCAATATATGTATGTATTTATATTTTTTTAGTTCTAGGGTAAAGAAAAGATTAACTGTGATTATATTTATAAGACATTTTATTATTTTTTATTTTTATTTTTATTTTTCCTTGCTTATTAAATATTAAAAAAATTAAAAATATTTTTTTTTGTTCTTATTAGAGGTAGATATGGACTTAAATTTTAAGAAAAACATAATAACCAGTCCCTATGGTTTCATAAGTTTTGTTTTTAATTCCTGTAATTTTTTTCATTGTTTTTAGTCTTTACAGAGATTCAAAACATTGAAAAACTAAAACTATAGGGGTATAAAAAATAAATGTCACACAAGCTTTTTGAAATTATAAAGATCGAAAACATTAAAAAAAAACTATAAGGACAAAAAGTAAAACCTAATAAAATTATAGAAACCAACAATTATGTTTTTTTTTAATTTTAAGACATAGTTAATAATGTTTAAGATTTTTTTAATTATAGTAAAACATGATAAAATTGATTAATGCATAGAATCAATATAGTATATATATTTTCTCATTCCTCCCTTTCCTTCTCCCCTCAACATGCATTGAGTATAGAATTAATTTTATTGTGAAAATAAAAGTACTGAAAATCAGATTAGATATTGAACTTATCAAAGCCTTGGTTTAGCAATAATTGTTAAACTTATAGTTGAATTATATATCATCAAATTGGTTATAAACAAATTTGTTTATTAAACCAATCAAGACATTGATTTAACAATTTATTAATTTAACTGATGAAGTTAACCCAGATTTTCATACTATGATGAAAACATTAACTTAAAATCTTTACTTATTAAAAACGTTTTGATTTGGATAGAGAGAAGAGTAAAAGAAAATACAGAGAAATGAAATTAGGAGGGGAAAACTGTCAAAAATGATAATTTTTTTAAAAAAAAAAATCATATATTTTTAGCGGTTCTCCTTTCTAATTTTGTTTCCTATCTAATTTCTTCCCCGGACAAACCAAGGATTAGTGTAAATATGAGTGGCTACAATGTTGGTCAAGCAGTTGCATGAAAAATTCCATTTTTTTTATAAATAGTTACATGAAAAATTATGAGAAGAAAAAAAAATGAAGATTTTTATATGTTAGTCATCATCAGCTTGTCATCAATATTTGGAGGACTTTTTATAAAGGTAATTATTGCATGTTGAGTTTTTAAGTAAAATACTTCATAAAGTACAGTGTGTGTGCATGGCAGCTTATTAATAGAAAATAAAATGTTACAATATTTTTAAGAGAGGAGTCTCTCCTTTTTTTCTCATCCATTTTTCCAATTCGTATCATTCAAATTATTTTATTAAATTAACAAATGGTAGGGACTGGAGAAATAAAGGGGGGAAAATGAAGAGACTCCCTCCCTCAATATTCCATGTTCCTATTGCAGTGTATGCATGGCAACATATTTGCAGAAAATAAAATGTTACAATATTCTCGTGAGAGGGGTCTTTCCCTTTTCCCCCCTACATTTCTCTCCATTTCCTCAATCCCCACTATTCATTAAAATAATTTGAATGGTGGGGATTGGGGAAATGGAGGGGGAAAAATGGAGAGACTCCCTCTCCCAATATTCCATATTTCCATTGTGTTTGATCTGGTGAAAAATTATATGCATATTATTTTACATTATGCTTGATAGATTTACTGAAGTTCACATTCATGAGGTTGTTAGCTGATATGATGTTTGATAGGTAAGAAAATGATAATAAAGTCTCAAAACTTGAAACCTATGAGAGTTAAATTTCTAACAAAATTTTTTAAAAAATAAATTATAAATATTAATTGAAATAGTTATAAACAGGAATTATAACTACAAATTGTGAGTTATATTTAAAATTTAAATTTTTTATTTATAATTAAAATTCCTGAATTTATAACAATGTGAATCAATATTTACAATTAATTTTTTAAAAAATCAGAAACTTTCTGTCATAAATTTATTATTTTGGTATTTTAATATCATTTTTCCTTCATAAATTCTTCTTCTCTTTTTGTTTGTGTGTTAATTAATTAGGGAGGAGAAATGATTTTCCTGCTAATCAATGATTTAAATTTATTTGAAAATATAAAAAACTTATTTTTGATTAGTTTTGTCGAAAGAGATCCCCAAATTCTCTCTTCCACACACTCACACACATAATCATAAGTAATAGAGCTTTTATTTCAAACTTTACCCCAAAAAGAAAAAAATCCCAAACCAATAAGTTTTTCAAATTTCATTTGACTTCCAAAACTCCACTTCAGAAGAAGTGACGAAAAAAATCCCCTTTCAGAATCAATTTAACTTTAAAGAATTGTCAGAATATTCATTTTACAATTTTACCCGCCATTTTACTTATCAATATTTAGATTATAAAAAAGTATGTCCTTTATTATAATTTGATGATTCAAAATTGATCCCAAAAAAAAAAAAATCCAAACATCTTTCTTTAATTTTATCAAATTCAATTTAAAAAAATATTATCCAAACATCATTATGCTCTGTTCATCAATTATTTTCATAATTAATTTTTTCTAATTGAAATCTAAACATATCCTGAGTATTTCTATAATTTCTCTGTAAGTCACAAGGCCTGTGTCTTGATCGTCCTTAAAACCACCTATAACCTTTTTTTCTCACAAAAAATGTCTAATTTAATTAAAAATGTTTGTTAAATCTTTGTAATGATCATTCACAAGTGGTTATCCCTTAATTGCTGCCTCTTTTTGCATATCTAATACTTAATTTGATGCAACAATAATTAATGTTGGTGGTGCAGTGCGAGTTTACAAGGAAGAGGATCAGAAGAGGAAGAAGAGATTGAAGCTCGGACTCAAGCCAGAAGAAGTAATATCATAATGCCACCATGGATGCTGCGTCATTTGATCAGATAAATTATGAAGTGCTTCTGTATTACTCTTGTTTTTAAGTAATTTATGACTCTAATTAATGCATGCTCTTGCTGAAGGCATGCACCAATCAACTTTAATTGATATATATCCCCATGTTCTAAGTACATTTAACTGCTTCATTCTCTGTACAGCTCTGCGTTTTTTTTTTTTTTTTTGGTTCTCTTTCTTTTTGCCTCAAAGTCCATTTTTTCTTGAGGCATAACCATGTCCTCTGATGTTTGAAAGTGTTCAAGTCATTAACCATTGAATGAGTTCAAATGTAATAAAAAAAAAAAGAAATTTTTGATGCCAAAAAAAAAATAGTAATTTATCATTAGATGGAATCCGCACTTCACACTCTACATCCATTGTAAAGTAAGAATTTTAGGATTTAAATTGTGAAGTAATTTTTTATTGAAGAAAAATTGTTTGCTTTGAAGATGATAATTTTTTTTTTTTTGCATTATTTTCTTTCCAACCATTAGACAGAGTAAATGGATAGGATCACCCCACTTCCTATCCCACTACATCAAATACATTGCATGTGATCTGGACCTGGATATTTATCAAGTAAAAAAATTGCAGCGATTTTTAAACCACAATACCTTCCATAATAGAGTGATCAATTAGACTCAATACCTTCATAAATACTTTTCTAGAAATATTTCTTGAAAAGTACAAGGACAAGAAAAGAATATTCCTACATCAACTTTTGGTCAGCTTACATTAGTAACTCCAATAAGATAACATTATTCGAATCACAAGTTCAAACCCAATCAACAAATTTATGGGACTTGCACCTTTTTTACTTGTAGTATTAGGATTCCTCTTTTTACAAATGCCCTCTCTCCATCTCAGTCCTTAGCTTCATATTTTACCATGGAACAAGAACTCTGGTTCATTCAAGCCAGCAAAAACCTTCTCAATGTCCTACCTTCTAATTTACTCCTCTTATCCTAAAGAGAGAGAAAGTATTAATTTTAATCCCATTTATAAAACATCTCCATAATTATTATTTTCATTTTTACCCTTTTGCCTCTATTAAATGCTGGAAAGATTATTAAATGTTAAATTATTTTATTTTAAAGTATGTATATTGAATAAAGATAATGTTAAAAACTAGTTGAATTTTAGGTAAAGTTAATGAGATTCAAGATTTTCCTTTATTCTAATAATAATACCGAAAATGACTTGAAAATATGATAAAAAAGAGTAACTTTTACTTTAACAATAATTATTAAAAAAAAGTGAAAAAAATCCCAACAGGAAGAATTGCTCCCAAAGAATGCAAGTTTATAGATATAATATATTCCGATTGTAGGAAGAACGATCTAATCTTCAATACAGTTATTCAATGTCTTAATACGGTACAAGAATATTATTGAATTGGTATTAAGCTGATCAATGAACCTATCCCCAGCCCGATTACAATTTTGTTCAAGCAAATACTAAGCCAGTAATGAACGTACGTGTGAGTTACAGGAAATGCATACTGATGCATTACAATTAATAATTTCGCAGTACGTCAAATTTTACTGTTCATTTCATCTTTGGCACGTTCATCAGCAGCAAGTAAATACTCCCTGTCATGTGTAAGTTGCCACGACACAGTCATTGAAACATAAAAGCTATGACATGAAAGAAACCAATGAAGAGGCAAACGGCTACGTCATGATGCACTTGAAAAGAAAGTCAAATTAAAAAAAGGAAATTAAAATATTAATTTCATCTTTGAGAGAACTGTAAACGCAAATTGTAATCCGCAGTAGACTCAACAAATTGGATGTTTTATACAGGTTCATCATGCCCCAGCACATTTGTCAGACGGGAAACAAACATATTACTAACATCCACGAGAAACTAAAGAAACACTTCAATATAATGTCAAAAGAAAAACAACTGGGAAAACACAACTTTTAGTCCCTGTAGTTTTAATGTATTTTGGCATAGGTCTATTATTATTATTTTTTAATTGTTCCATGTCTCTAGTTTATCTTGAATGCAATGTTTGCCCCTCTACTTTCGAATATGTTCAAAAGGACAATGATGTGGCACTAATGGTGTTAAATTTGTTGACCTGTCACTAATACAATTAATATAGAAGGTAAAACAAGGTCCAGATCTTAAATGACAAAGGCAGCACACACAATAACCCCACTTAATTGAAGGTTATCGAGGCATCAGTCAAAGGAAAAATGCTTGTGATGTGTAATTAGAATAAGTGGAAGTCATTAGTGGGAAGGGTGGAAGTCGTTAGGGAAGTTAGTTAGATGGTTAATGGGTCTAAATGTATAAATAGGCCTTGTATAAATATACTTGATATGAAATTGGATAATAAATTTCTCGAGTATTTCCAAAATCTCTCTCTAGTTCTCAATCTCTTCCTTACTCTCCTTTTCTCCATCCTATCTTTCCTGTTCTTTTCTCTAGCCATCAATGATATCAGAGCAGTTCATGCTCAGCCTATATGCCAGAAACTCGATCAAAGAAACAACAAAAAATCATGACAAATCAAAACGATGACTGTATTCGTGCCTTAGAGGATGCCTTCTCCAAGTTGGCAAGTCTTCACCATCATCATCGACCACGAACAGACACCCAACTACCAACCTCGCACACACTTCACCAAGATGGAATTTCCCTGATTTCAAAGGGATGATATCTTAGGGTGGATTTTGAAATGCGAGTATTACTTTCAAATTGATAACACGCCAGAAGATTGGAAGATTACTATAGCTAGCATCCATGTGGATGAAAAAGCCTTTCAATGGCATCAAGCAATGGTCTTGGGGGATGAGTATGCACGATGGACTTGGGCCGAGTATGCAAAAGCTTTGAAAAATCACTCTGGATCTCGATATGAAGCACCAATGGAGGACTTGATGAATCTGCGACAGATAGGTTCTTCAGATGAATTCGACACCATAGTTTGCAAAGTCATGTTTCCCGAGGATTACTTGGTTCAGACATACACGGCAGGGCTTAACCCAGAGTTCGTGGTGCCCCTCAAGATGTTTAAACTGAGGACCTTGAGCGGTGCACGAGCTATTGCAAGAACCCATGAGATTAATCGTCAAGAAACGAGACTTCAGACACATGGCAGTGAATCATGCAGTCGCACAGTCCAGTGGGCAAGAAATGAAGAGACATAGGTAAAAGAAAGCTTCTTTGATCCTTATCCATGCATGCAGAAGGAGACAACCAGGTGGGGTAATACAAAAAACTCCATCTGGAAATTTTGGGTCCCACACTTTTAAGGATAAAAATGTCCAATCTACAAATTCTAATTCTTATACCCAAACCCAGCTCTATCAACCCTATTTCTTCTATTTTAACGACTAGGTCTTCACACAACAATGCCAAAAGTTTTAAAAACTTAAGCCCAGATGAGGTGAAGGAATTGCAAGCCAAGAATCTTTGCTTTTACTGCCGACAACCCTTCTCTAGTGACCATGCATGTGCCCAGACGCATAAGATGCAGTTACAGCTTATTGAATTAGAAGAACAAAGCGGGGAAGAGGGTGAAGATGACACTAGACAAGATTTGGAAGTCCTTGAAAAGTTTGAGGGCATACCAGAACAATCAAAGTGTCTTCAAATCTGTCTTCATGCTATTCAGTGAAGTGTTGTACCTTCGGCTATGAGAATCCACGGGTATATGGGCAGGAGACAGATTCAGATTCTCATTGATAATGGGGCCTCACATGCCTATATTGACTGTGCGTTAGCTAAGAAATTCAGCTGGAAGGAAGGTTCTTATCCAATGGCAGAAGTTGAAGTTGCTAGAGGTGGGAAGTTCAAGGTTTTTGAGGTTCTTAAAGGCGTTAAGTGGAGAATGCCCGAGAAGAGTTTGAGTCAGACTTTCCAATTTTGGAAGTCAAAACATATGACATTGTTCTGGGTTTATCTTGGCTTAGGACTATTCATCAAGCTCATTGGGGTTATGACAATTTGTCCATGACTTTCTGGTATAATTGGAAAAAGTGCTGCTTGCAACCTCAAGAACTAACAGGATGTAAGATTGTTGACTTTAAGATTGAAGGAGATTTAGAGGCTGGAGGGTAGATGTCTATGTTGCACTTGTTAGAGGATGGTGATGGGGATCTTCATTGTTTGAAGGTAAAGGGGGATAATAATTTTGTAGAAGCTGTGACAGAATTATTATCTGAATTTTCAAATGTTTTTAAAGAACCTAAGTCTCTTCCCCCTTTGAGAGAAGGTCACAATCACCTTATTATTCCGCAAACAAAGGCTGACCCAGTTAATCTAAGGCCCTATAGGTATCCAGCAGTTCAAAAGAATGCTATTGAAGACATGGAAAAGGATCTACTGCAATCACAAGTTATCCAGGAAAGTAGTTCACCATTTGCTTCACCAATTTTGTTGGTGAAAAAGAAAGATAGGTCATGGCGCATGTGCAATGATTATAGAGAACTTAATAAGAGGACAGTCAAGAATAAATATCCTATTCCTCTTGTGGAAGAGCTTCTGGTCAAATTAAAGGATGCTAGATCGTTTACTAAGCTGGATCTACAGGCTGGTTACCATCAAATCAGAATGGAACCAAAAGACATCTACAAGACAGCCTTTCGCACTCATTTAAGCCACTACAAGTAGTTAGTGATGCCTTTTGGGCCCACTAATGCACCTGCAACTTTTCAGGGTGCTATGAATAATATATTCAGGGAGTATTTGAGGAAATTTGTCTTAGTTTTCTTTAATGATATTTTAATTTATAGTCCCTGTATAAATTCTCACACATAACACTTGTGTTCGGTTTAGGAAATTCTGAGAAAACATTGCTTTTTTGTGAAGGAAAGCAAGTGTACCTTTGCTGGATCAGAATTAAAGACGGCATTTCAGATGTATTGGGTTACTAAACTCATGCGGTATGATTATGCAATTCATTACAAAAAGGGTGATGATAATAGTGCAGCTGATGCTCTTTCTAGGATCCCTAAAAATGAGGTTTTTCAAGTTTCTCTTCATACTTGTTCAGATTTTCTTTTCTTGGAAATTTAGCGAAGTTGGGATGATTATGTAGATCTCAGAGCTTTAAGGGCTCAATTGCAACAGTGTGGTGGGTCAGAAGGCAAATATGCTTGGGATAGTCAATTTTTAAGGAAAACTGACAAGCTCGTTGTTGGAAATATTCCAAACGTGAGACTTAAGATCCTGGAATAGCTTCATGGTAGTCCACGAGGGGGACGTTTTGGTGTGCAAGCTACTTAGCAAAGAGTCAAGAAGCTATCCTGGTGGCCAAAATTATTTGAGGATATTAAAGATTTTGTGAGGCATTGTGATACATGTGCTCAGTGTAAATCTGAATTAGTGGCTTATCCTGGATTACTACAGCCTCCTCCTATTCCAAGCAAGGTTTGGGAAAGTGTCACCATGGATTTTATTGAGGGCTTACCCAAATCCAATGGCAAGGACACAATTTGGGTGATTATTGATCGTTTTAGCAAGCATGCACTTTTTTTTTTTTGTCTTTATCTCATCCTTTTATAGCCTCTACTTTAGCACAATAGTTCCTTGATTATATCTATTAGTTACATGGAGCTCCCGTTGAGACTATAAGTGATAGAGAGCCCCTCTTTGTCAGTCATTTTTAAAGGATTTTTTGAAAGTTTTCAGGGTTGACCAGAAGCATACTTCCTCTTACCATTCACAAACAAATAGGCAGTCAGAAGTTCTCAATTGCTGTCTAGAAAATTATTTGAGGTGCATGTGTTGGGAAAAACCTAAGGAGTGGCATAAATGGCTTTCTTTGGCAGAATGGTAGTATAACACTTCTTACCACAATTCTACTAAAACTACTTCCTATGAATTGCTGTATGGGCAGGCTCCTCCTTTGCATGTTCCTTATTTGCCTAGAGATGTGATGGTGAAGGCTGTTGATAGAACTTTTGCAGCACAAGAGGAAGCTTTAAGGATGGCAAAACATCATCTTAGTAGGGCTGTCAACAAAATGAAACAAAAGGCAAATTTGTATAGGAGTGATAGAGAATTTGAGGAAAGACAGTGGGTGTTTGTCAAGCTTCAAACTTATAGACAAATTTCTGCAGCATCAAAGAGCTCTCAGAAATTGACTCCAAAGTACTTCGGACCTTATAGAATCTGTCAAAGAATAGGTCCAGTAGTGTACAAAGTGGAGTTACCTCCAAAATCTAGAGTGCATCCTACTTTTCATGTATCTTTGCTTAAGCTCTGTCCTGATCCATCTGTGAAGCCACGGCATCCACCTGTAGCCGGCCTGAGCCTCCTCCAACTCTTCTTCTAGGGTTGATTTTGAACAAAAGAATGGGAAGAAAGAAGGGGAGAATTATTTCTGAAGTTCTGGTCCAATGGAAGGGTGTTCCAGATGAAGAAGCAAGCTTGGTTCCTTTATTCCAACTGAAACAGCAGCACCCTTCTTTTGTCATTTCTGACCCTTGAGGACAGGGGTTCTTAAGGGGGATATTGATGTGTAATTAGAATAAGTGGAAGTCATTAGTGGGAAGGATGGAAGTCATTAGTGGGAAGTTAGTTAGATGGTTAATGGGCCTAAATGTATAGATAGGCCTAGGGTGTAGATGAACCTGATATGAAATGGCATAATAAATCTCTCCAGTATTTCCAGAATCTCTCTCTAGTTCTCAATCTCTTTCTTACTCTCCTTTTCTCTATCCTATCTTTCCAGTTCTTCCCTTCTCTATCCATCAGCTTGACTGCCATTGACCCCGCTTACTCTGATGCCAAAATACACTTTTAGACGTTGTCCTTGTAGGCGTTAGTTTCAAAATATTTAATACCCTTGTTGGAATTGGGCTTTTTTTTCTTTGAGTCCATTATCTCTAGGGTTTCTTAGACTATTATTATTATCATCTTGGTCAGCTTTATTTTTTAGGATTCAGATTAATATCTCGAATTAGTATCCCCTATTTATTTTATTTTATTGAGAGAGGATTTTATGCAATTGTATCAATCTCTCCCTCTATATATGTACCGATCAGTTCTGTGGAAGAATAAGATATCACGCACTGCATTCTCTCATGGTATCAAAGCAGTGTCTCTATGTCGTACAAAGCAGTGCTCTCCGGTCAACCTAGGGCTTTCACAGCTGGTGATGAGGTCCTTTAGTCATCATCGGCATTGGGAGGAGGCCCTAGAACAGGGACCGAGATTGGGGGAGGAGGTACACAAGGTGCGAATATTCCTATCCTAACTTCGAGGGGGAGTTCTGTACCTGACTCCTTCTCTCACACTGTGATAACCCATCATCTAAATGGGAACAATTATCTGCAGTGGTCCAAAAATATTCTAATGCTCATCCGTAGGAAAAATAAAGAAAAATACCTCACCTGGAATCCCAAGCCGCCAGCTATTGGTGACCCTCAATATGAAACATGGTGTGCCAAGAACAACTTGGTGATGACTTGGCTTGTTCACTCTATGACAGCCGAGATTAGTGAGACCTATTTACTTGCTAATTTTGCTCGGGAAATCTGGGAATCAGCCAGGCGCACATATTCTATCAGAGAATACAGCCGCTATTTTTCAAGTGAAAAGGATGCTTCGTAGTCTCACGCAAGGGGAAAACACTATTACTCTCTACTATAGTGCTCTCATCAGGCTTTGGCAACAAATCAATCTGTATGAAGTCCACCAATGGTCCTGCCATACAGACGAGGTGTATTTCCGCCAAGTGGTCGATCGCGAACGCTGCTATTTTTCAAGTGAAAAGGATGCTTCGTAGTCTCACGCAAGGGGAAAACACTATTACTCTCTACTATAGTGCTCTCATCAGGCTTTGGCAACAAATCAATCTGTATGAAGTCCACCAATGGTCCTGCCATACAGACGAGGTGTATTTCCGCCAAGTGGTCGATCGCGAACGCTGCTATGAGTTCTTGCTTGGGTTGAATGATAATTTTGAAGACGTTCGAGGATGAATTATGGGCATGTAGCCCATCCCATCCTTTGGAAGATGCATTTAATACGATCAGGTATGAGGAAAGTCATAAAGAACTTACTCAGAATTCTTCATCTACTCCTTCTATTCTTCCTTCCTCAAGTTTAGAAGCCTCGGCCATGGTGGCACGTGGGAACCAAGGTGGAGAGCAAAAAGGGAAGAAGCATCTCAAATGTGATCATTGTAACAAAAATGGTCACACCAGGGAATTGTGTTGGGAAATTCATGGGAAACCAGCCCATCTAAAGCAACAAAGTAAAGGTGATAAGAAGGGGTTCATGGTAAACAACTCTAATGGTGACATGCTCAATAGTGAAGATCTCTCTGTCCTACGAAGAATTCTAGAAACGTATTCTCAGGAAAGACCAAGTGAGAAAACTCCCTCTGTTGCCTTAGCTCAAATAGGTACTAAACTTGTCACTGCTTTAAATGCTATTTCCTGGACAAGCAATGTTTGGATAATTGATTCAGGAGCTACAGATCATATTACTGGTTTTTGAGAATTATTGTCTAATTTTCACCCCTATTTTGAACATACCCGTGTTTAAGTAGCAAATAATACTTATGCCAAGGTTATAGGCATAGTCACTATTTCTCCCAACATAATCCTTACAAATGTCTTATATGTGCCTGACATACAATGTAGCTTGTAGTCCGTGAAGTGTATAGCTCATCAATTAAATTGCCTTGTTATTTTTGACCAATTTAAGTGTGTTTTTCAGGACATGGCTTTGGGGAAGACAATTGGCAATGCTAAGGAATTTAATGGGTTGTATTATCTTGAAGGCAACTCCTCAAATAAAGACTGCATGGCTAATTCAAGTTCTTGTTTTTCTACTATGTCTCATGAAGACTTTATGTTATGGCATTTTAGGTCAGGTCATCCAAGTTTTGATTACATGAAAATTTTCTTTCCCAATTCTATGAATAAAAAGAAGGTTGATTTTCATTGTGATATTTTCCAGTTTGCCAACAAACTCGCACCTCTTATCCTTCAACTCCATATATTCCTTCCAAACCTTTTGCCCTTATTCATAGTGATGTTTGGGGTCCATCTAGCGTTGCTACTAACTCAAAAGCTAGGTGGTTTGTTACTTTTATAGATGACCATACCCGTTTGACGTGGCTGTTCTTGATGAGAGACAAATCTGAAGTTTTCTCTATTTTTAAAAATTTCCACGTGTTTGTTTAAACTCAATTTCAGACCTCTATCAAGGTTCTTCGAAGTGATAATGGGACAAAGTATCTTAACTCAAACTTTCAAAGTTTCCTTACTGAGAAAGGGATACACCATCAAACATCTTATGTGAACACTCAATAAAATGAGGTGGCTGAAAAGAAAAATAGACATCTTTTAGGGCTCTTTTGCTAGGAAATAATGTTCCTAATATTTTTTGGGGGATGCTGTCCTCACTGCTGCATATCTTATTAATCGTATGCCCTCCAAAGTCTTAAAATTACAATCACCTATTGAGAAATTTCTAACCTATTTTCCTAATTATCATCTTTTTAACTCACTCTCTAAGCGTGTCTTTGGCTATACTACTTGTGTCTTTTCTTCTTCGGGTGGAAAATTGGCTTCTCGGTCTATTAAATATATTTTCTTGGGATACTCTTCTACAAAGAAACTCCGCCTATGTTTATAGCCGGTCCCAAGCCCGGGTAAAGGAGGAGGGTTGTGTTAGGCCATCAACAGCCAATGTAAAACTTTGTTGAATCTATCATGAACATGGACAATAGACGTTATAATGTTAATGCTAGGTCGTTGCCTGTAAGTAACGCGCTGCATGGCTCGAGTACAGTGATAAGTGAGTTAGAGCTGCTGCATCGGCGCCCGGATGTAGTGTTAAATGAGCAAGGGCTACCGCGTCATTCTGGACGCACGCGGCTAAAGAAGTTAGTCCATGAGAGCAAAATTAGATTTGGCACCTGGAATGTTGGGACATTGAATTGTAAATCTGTAGAGGTTGTCGGGATTATGATTCAAAGAAAAATCAATATCCTTTGCCTACAAGAAACAAAATGGCGTGGAGAAGAAGCTAAGGATATTCAAGGTTTCAAACTTTGGTATACAGGAAAAGTAAGTGCACGCAATAGAGTAGGCATCATTATAGATAAGGAGTGGAAGAAGAACGTTGAAGTTAGCAGAATTGGAGATAGATTTATTTTCTTAAAAATGATAATTGGATGTGAGACTGTTAATCTTGTTAGCGCTTATGCGCCGCAAGTCGGGACAGAAGCCAGTCTTAAAGAATTATTTTGGGAGGATCTGGAGGGGTTGATTCGACACATACCACAGAGTGAAAAGATTTTTATTGGAGGAGACTTTAATGGGCATGTCGGGAGGGAAGCTGGTCAGTATGCGAGGGTGCATGGTGGTTTTGGTTTTGGAGAGCTAAACAATGAAGGACAAACTCTTCTTGATTTCTCATTAGCGTATGATTTTAAGATTGCCAACACTTGTTTCAAGAAGAGAGATGAGCATCTCATCACTTACAAAAGTGGAGTCTCAAAGTCACAGATTGATTTTCTTTTGGTTAGGAACACAGATAGAAGACTTTGTAAAAATTGCAAGGTGATCCCCGGAGATGCTGTAACGACACAACATAGGGTCCTAGTCCTTGATGTGTGTATTATGAGTAAAATCCAAAAACGTCGATAAGTAGTAGCACCAAGGATTAGGTGGTGGCAATTAAAAGGTGAGAAGCAATATATTTTCAAGCGAAATCTTTTGGATAAAGGAATTTGGGAATCTCAGAAAAGTGCTAACATCATGTGGGAGGATATGGCTAAAAAGATACGGGAGGTTGCAAAAGTAGTTTTGAGAGAATCAAAAGGTTCCGGTCCGAGAGATAAGGAGTCTTGGTGGTGGAATAATAGTCTACAGGACAAAATCAAATATAAGAAGAATTGTTTTAAAGCCATACATTTGTGTAACAATGAGGAAAATTGAGAGAGGTACCGTATGGCTAAGAAGGAAACTAAGAGAGCTGTAGGTGAAGCTCGTTCTAAAGCTTTTGAAGAATTTTATAAGAACCATGAGACGAAGGAAGAAGAGCGAAATATTTATAAGATTGCCAAGAGTAGGGAAAGAAAATCAAGAGATCTATAACAGATAAGGTGTATTAAGGATGAAGAGGGAAGAATTTTAGTTACAGATGATGAAATTAAAAATAGATGGGAGACTTACTTTTCTAAACTTTTCAATGATGGAGAGGGTTCATCTAGTAACTTGGAGGATTTAGTAACTGGTGAAGGAGAACAAAATTTGTCATTCTATCGAATAATACGTGATAAGGAGGTAAAGGAAGCTCTTAAGAAAATGGCAAATGGTAGAGCCAACGGACCTGATTGTATATCTATCGAAGCGTGGAAATGTTTAGGTGAAGAAGGGGTGAGATGGTTAACTCAGTTATTTAATGTGATTTTACGGTCCAAGAAAATGCCTGATGAGTGGAGGAGAAGTACATTAATTCCTATTTATAAAAATAAAAGAGATATTCAGAATTGCACTAACTATAGAGGGATTAAGCTCATGAGCCACACAATGAAATTGTGGGAGAAAGTAATTGAGCACAGGTTGAGATTGAAGACAAGTATTTCTGAGAATCAGTTTGGTTTTATGCCAGGTAGATCAACTACAGAGGCAATTTATCCACTAAGGGGATTAATAGAAAAGTATCATTGTAAAGATAAAGATCTACACATGGTTTTTATTGATTTGGAAAAAGCTTATGACCGTATACCAAGAAAAGTGCTTTGGAAAGTGTTGGAAAAAAAAAGGAGTACGGATTGCTTATATTAAAGCCATACAAGATATGTATGAGGGGGTAAAAACTAGTATAAGAACGCCTGGTGGTCAAACAAAGGATTTTCCTATAAAGATTGGACTACATCAGGGATCATCTCTGAGTCCTTATTTGTTCAACTTGATCTTAAATGTTTTGACGGAACATATTCAAGGGGAAATTCCGAAATGTATGCTCTTCGCCAATGATATAGTTCTTATAGCAGATACAAGAGAAGAGGTTAATTGCAAACTTGAGTTATGGAGGAGGACATTGGAGTCGAAAGGTTTTCGTCTGAGTAGAAGTAAGACGGAATATTTATATTGTAAATTTGGTGAAGGACTATTCAACAATAATTTGGAAGTGAAATTGGGAGATCAAATTATACCTCAAGTGAAAAAGTTTAGATATTTTAGAGCCATTATTCAAAATGATGGCGAAATCAGTAGAGATATTTCACATAGAATTCAAACTGGATGGTTTAATTGGAGAAAAGCTAAAGGAGTTATTTGCGATCGTAAGGTGCCTAATAAACTTAAAGGAAAGTTTTATCGCACTGCTATCAGACCGGCAATGTTATATAGTAGTGAATACTGGGCTCTAACGAGACAGCAAGAGCATAAAGTTGGAGTAGCAGAGATGAGAATGTTACGATGGATGTGCGGACATACACGTAAAGATAAAATTCGAAATGAGCACGTACGCGAAAAAGTGAGAGTGGCACCTATTGAGGAAAAAATGGTAGAACATCGGTTGAGATGGTTTGGGCATGTACAAAGAAGACCAAGGGAGGCACCAGTGAGAAAAGTGGAACATATAACTTTGAGTCCGATTAAGAGAGGTAGAGGAAAGCCTAAGAGAACACTTTTGGAGGTTATTGAACGCGATCTGTTAATTAATAATATTCCTAAAAGCTTGATAAATGATAGAGCACAATGGCGTTTTGCAATCCATATAGCCGACCCCACCTAGTGGGATAAAAGCTTGTTGTTGTTGTTGTTGTTGTACTCTTCTACAAAGAAAGGATACAAATGTTATTCTCCATCCACTCGAAATACCTATGTCACTTTGGATGTTCAGTATGTTGAAACTCTTCCGTTCTATCCCAAATTACCCATTCAGGGGGAGAGTGATAATGAATGGTTAATATGTGACAGCTCACCTAGCCCACGAGTTAGTAACCCAAACACTGGATCTCAAACACTTCTAGATGCTTCTATTTCTGAACCTGAACCAGTTTCACCTGTTACAGCACCTGACTTTCCTGAATCTGATTCTGCTACAGAACCTGAATCTTGTCCTAATTACCCTACCAGACCTGAATCTGAGTCTGACAACCCTGAACCATTACCAATGGCCATTCAAGACCAAAATTTAGAGTCTGTTGTGAATAGATCAGAGGAGAATCAGCCAGGTCAGCAGGTGCAAAGAGACAATCCCATTACTTTTCCAAGGCAAAGTCATGACTCTCAACCTGAAACCAGTCCTGAAGATATCCAATGGCCTATTGCTCTAAAAAAAAGAAAAAAGAGTCGTACTCGACATCCCATTGGCAGGTATGTCTCCTATGATAAACTTAACTCTCAGTTTAAGGCTTTGGTTGCAAGTATTGATAGTGAAGATATTCCTAGCACTTTTGATAAGGCTGTAACTGATCCCAAATGGAGATTAGCTATTGAAGAAGAGCTGAAGGTCTTGAGTAAAAATCTGAAGATATACTGATCAAAACTAAATTATATTATTCGGTAGGTGTGTCGATTACATATATACAGAAGAGAAACCACAATGCCAGCCGAGAAATGAGGCCGAGGAATAAGGGATAGAGAGAAAAGACTTCCCTAATATATCTGATCCTATAATCGTATAATAACTATCAGATATTTACATTAAACATAGTATATTTCCACACTCCCCCTCAAGTTGGACCATAGATGTTAATCATGTCCAACTTGCTGATAAAATAGTCAAACTTATCTCTACTCAAGCCTTTGGTGAGAACATCAGCTGTTTGCTCCCTTGTTAATATGTGTCTCATCTGGATGATGCCAATATCAATCTTCTCTCTGATAAAATGTTTATCTATCTCAACATGCTTGGTCCAATCATGTTGCACTGGTTTGTGTGAAATGTTGATTGCTGCCATACTATCTGAATACAGAGTGATAAGCAAGTTAACATTCTTTTTAAGTTCCTCAGTCACCTTTTTAATCCATATACCTTCACAAATTCCTAAAGCAATGGCTCAAAATTCTGCCTCTACACTACTACGGGCCATTACACTTTGCTTCTTGCTTCTCCAAGTAACCAAGTTTCCCCAAACAAAAGTGCAGCATCCAAATGTAGATTTTCTATCCTCTTGATCACCTGCCCAATCTGCATCTGTGTAGAGTTCTACACCGCGCTTCTCAGATTTCTTAAACCATAAACCCTTTCCAAGAGTACCTTTCAAATACCTAAGAATCCTGTAGACCTCATTCAAGTGTTTCTGCTTGGGGTCATGTGAATGTTGACTCACCATGCTAACTGCAAAGGCAGTACTAGCCTAGTATGTGACAAATAGATTAATTTTCCCCCCATACATTGATACCTACCCATATCATTAGACTTGCTAAAGTCCTCTTCATTGCTTATCTTGTCAACTCGGATAAGTGTATCACTAGGTCTACACCTAAGCATGCCAGTCTTGTTTAAGAGATCTAGCACATATTTTCTCTGAGAAATAGATATTCCCTTCTTGGATCTTGCCACCTCCATACTTAGAAAATACTTCATTTCTCCAAGATCTTTTATCTGAAACTCTTGAGCTAGCACCCTTTTAAGATTTTCAATCTCCTTAATATCATCGCCTGTAAGGACCATATCATCCACATAAACCAACAAAACAATAATTGATGTGATCGCTTTGACCTTGTTTGAACCTTGCCCTTTTTAGTACCTATATGAGTCTCTCAAACCACGCTCTTGGAGACTGCTTTGGTCCATAAAAGGACTTCTTCAATTTGCACACTTGATTTGGCTTATTTCCTGGGAACCCTGGCAGTAACTTCATATACACTTCCTCTTTCAACTCACCCTTTAGGAAGGCGTTTTTTTACATCTAATTGATGTAATAGCTAATCAAGGTTGGCTGCTAGTAATAGAATTATTCTAACAGTGTTGAGTTTGGCTACCAGTGCGAATGTCTCCGTGTAGTCTATACCATACACTTGGGAGAACCCTTGAGCAACAAGTCTCCCTTTGTGTTTGTTTAGACTACCATCAACATTGTATTTAGGTGTAAAGACCCACTTACATCCAACTGCTTTCTTTCTTGAAGGTAATTCTACCACGTTCCAAGTATTGTTGTTTGTCAATGCCTCCATTTCCTCCATTACAACTTGTCTCCATTCAGGTACAGCCATGGCCTCTTCAATATTCTTTGGTACTGTAACACTATCCAAATGGGCAGTAAATCCAGAAAATTTAGCAGACAATGCTTGATAAGACACAAACCTCTCGATAGGATGCCTAGTGCAAGCTCTCGGCTTCTTCCTCATAGTTATCGGTAGGTCAATCTCATCCTTACCACCTGATTCTTCCAGACTTCCTCCATTATATTCTTTTAGACCTACATTTGGGTCTGACTCCTGGTCAGTCCTTGAGATATGGGTCTGTTTACCTGTCTTGTTTTTCCATGTATAGGTTTGCACAAATCTGGTGTCTCCCCCTGTCGTGGACGTCGCCTTTGGACTAGGAGTTGGTACATCACTTTCAGCTTGAGTGGTGGTATTGGTGTCTTCAATTCCCAGGTCCAAATCAAGATCAGTGAGCTCAAGAGACAAATGATGAGGTATAGCTATAGGGTTAGGTGTTTCAAGTGTTTCACTCATGTTCTCGCACATGCCAATCTACAATTCATTCCAATTCTCCCCCTGGATTGGAGGTTGTGAGTAGGAAGATTTTGTTTCGTGAAAGGTGACATCACAGGTGGTAAAGATACGTTTAGTAATAGGATCAAAGCATTTGTACACCTTTTTATTGGCAAAGTAACCAAGGAAAACACATCGGACAGCTTTGAGGTCAAGTTTGTTTGTGTGATGAAGATGAACATAGGTAGTACACCCAAATACTCGTAAGGGTAAAGTATTTTCCGGGTAGGGTAGATTGTAAGTTTGGTGTAGAACTTCAATGGGAGTTTTATATGACAAGGTGCGGTTGGGAAGGCGATTAATAAGGAAGGTTGCAGTTAGGACAGCATCATCCCAGTGATATTTAGGAACATGGCTGCCAAAGAGAAGTGCACCAGCTGTTTCAAGGATGTGCCCATTTTTCCTTTCAGCAATACCATTTTGCTGAGGGCTATAAGGACAAGTACTTTTGTGAACAATTCCATTGGAAAGTAAAAAAGTGGAGAGATGTTTGTTGAAATATTCTGTGCCATTATCAGTGTGGAGTGTTTGAATAGACGTGTGAAACTGAGTTTTGACCATGTGATAGAAATCAATGAACACCTGAGAAACATCAAATTTGTCCTTTAGAAGGAACACCCAAGTAACACGAGAATGGTCATCAATAAAAGTGACAAAACACTTTGAGTGAGTCCTATTAGAAACCCGAGAGAGCCCCCATAGATCACTATGAATGATTGTAAAAGGTTTTGATGCAACATATGGCTGATTAGGAAAGGAAACACGATGATGTTTTGCTTTTTCACATGAATCACAATAGAACTGAGAACAATCACTTTTATTGCAACTTGAGGGAAACATTTTTGACATATAATTGAAATTAGGATGACCAAGACGTTTGTGCCACAACTCCAACTCACTAGTCCTAAGGAGAAACACTTATTGCATGACCAAACATTACTGACTTTATTTCCATCCAGGTAGTAAAGACCATCAAATTCTTTAGCACTGCCAATCGTCATCCCCGTCAGTAGATCCTGAAAAAGACAATAAGTAGCAAAAAAATCAACATGACATTTCTCATTCTTTGCCAATTTACTCACTGAGAGTAAGCTACACTTTAAATTAGGCACATGAAGAACATGATGTAAGGTTAAAGTAGATGAAAGTTGTACACTTCCTATACCAGAAATAACTGACTCCGATGCATCGGCAATCTTGATTGTAAAGTTCTTTTGGCAAGGTACATAGGTCGTAAATAATTTAATATTATCAGTCATATGATCCGAAGTGGATCCGAAGTGCCTGAGTCTACTATCTAGCAGTCTCCAATGCATACTCGTTTAATAGTAGCCAAGGCTTTAGAAAAATTACCTCTTTGTACCACAGTAGCAACAGGCTGCTTACTATTAGTTTGTAAGGCTAACAACATTTCAATGATCTTACTCAGTTGATCATTTGAGGGCTGTGAATTATCATCTCCCATAGAGCTTTCAGCAACATATCCACGGCTTTTTCCCTATCTTGGCTTCCAATTAGGTGGCTTACCATGGAGATCCCAGCATTTGTCCTTTGTGTGGTCCACTTTCTTACAGTGTTCACACGTGGGACGTCCTTTATTGCTTCTAGGATCATTGGACTTGGCAGCAAGAGCAAATGATTCAAAAGTACCGGTTTGAGGAATGGGTTCATCTTTCAACATTACCTTCCTTCGTATGCACTCCCTCCGGATCATTGCAAAAGCTTCACGGACAGATGGCAAAAGTTCCAGACTCAAAATTCTGCCACAAACATCATCCAGGTCTGAATTAAGTCCAACTAGCAACTCATACAATCGTTCTTTCTCAAGCTATTTTCAGAACCGAGCAGCATCCTCAAAACTGGTCCATTCCTCGGCAGTAATCAGATCAAGTTCTTGCCATAGAGTAGTTTTTTCAAGGTAATATTCACTTGGGTCACGATTACTTTGCTTCACGAGCCATAGTTTGGATTTAATCTCAAACACTTGAGAAGCATTTTCCCCATCTGAGTATGCCTCCTTCACAGCGTCCCATATCTCTCAAGCTGTTGGGAGAAATAAAAAACTCTTCTTCACAGCTGGTACCATCGAGTTGACCAACCATAAACATACCATTGAGTTTTCGGTCTTCCAAATTCTAAGAGCCTTGACATTCGTTGCCTCTGGACATTAGGTTTCGCTAGAAACGTACCCGCATTTACCACGACCCTCTACCGCAAGTCATACCATCTGAGCCTATTCTCAGTAGTTGACACCAATGAGCTTTTCTGAGACGAGAGAGACAAGCGAGCTCTCTTGGCTAGTCACAAAGTGTGCGACTTGACGCGAGCTCGCACTAGACGAACCCTCCAAGCCAGTCAACTCTATATTTCGGTGAGTTTCAGGCTAAGAGTTCGACTCCATGTCCGTCTCTGATGATTCAGTTGCTCGTTCTTCTTCGAGCTCTGATACCATGAAGATATACTGAGCAAAACTGAATTATATTATTCAGTGGGAGTGTTGATTACATATATACAAAAGAGAAACCACGATGCCAGCCGAGAAATGAGGCCAAGGAATAAGGGATAGAGAGAATAAAATAAAAGACTTCCCTAATATATTTGATCCTATAATCGTATAATAACTATCAGATACTTACATTAAATATAGTATATCTCCACAATCAAACATGGGAGATTGTTGACTTACCTCCCAGAAAGTCTGTTGTGGGAAGTAAACGGGTCTTTACCAAAAAATATAATCCGAATGGGAGTGTTAATAGATATAAGGGGAGATTGGTTGCTAGAAGATTCACTCAAACCTATGGTATTGATTATCAAGAAACATTTGCATTTGCTAAATTTAATAGTATAAATGTGCTGTTTTCTCTTGCAGCGAACTTAGATTGGCCTCTGCATCAATTAGATGTCAAAAATGCCTTCTTAAATGGTGACTTGAAAGAGGAAGTATACATGGAAGTCCCTCAAGGGTTACGGGATTCTGAGAATGTGAATAAAGTCTGTAAGCTCCAAAAATCCTTATATGGGTTAAAACAATCCACACGGTCGTGGTTTGAGAGGTTTACACGTGCTAATTAAGGGATTTGGTTATAAACATTGTCAAGCTGATCACATCTTGTTTGTTAAACATTGTGGCTCAAAATAACTATATTGATTGTTTATGTGGATGATATAGTCTTGACAGGCAATGATCCTAAAGAAATTGCATAGTTGAAAGGGAAATTGGCTACAGAATTTGAGGTGAAAGACCTTGGAAGCATGAAATATTTCCTTGGGATGGAGATAGCTCAATCTTCTAAGGGTATTAGTGTATCTTAGCAAAAGTATACACTTGACTTACTCAAGGAGACTAGTATGCTAGGGGCTAGGCCTGCAGATACTCCAATGGAGCTTAATTGCAAATTGGAAGCAAAAAAAGATGGAAAATCTGTTAATAAAGAAAGGTATCAGAAGTTGGTGGGAAAGTTGAATTACTTGTCTCACACAAGGCCAGATATCTCTTTGGCAATGGGAGTTGTCAATCAATTCGCGAATAATCCTCAAAAAGAACACATGGAAGCAGTGTATCGGATTCTAAGACACCTCAAGACAACACTCGGAAAAGGTTTATTCTTTTCTAAGAATAATCAGAAGGGTATAGAAATTTATACAATTGCAACCAAGATGACAACCGGCAAGGAAGAACAGAAAAATGTGGAATATATACAAACGCAAATTGGGCAAGTGCGATTAATGATAGACGGTCCACAACTGGATATTGCACTTTTGTCTAGGGTAACCTACTAACTTGAAGGAGTAAGAAACAATCAGCAGTATCAAGAAGTTCTGCAGAATCAAAATATAAGGCCTTGTCTCACGGAATCTGTGAGGGTATGTGGATTACATGATTATTGGAAGAATTTGAGATACTAATGAATACCCCTATTAAGATGTGGTGTGATAGCATGGCTGCACTCAAGATTGCTAATAATACTATCCAACATGATCGCACAAAGCATGTTGAGATAGACCGATACTTCATGAAAGAGAAGATAGAAAATAAAGTCATAGACTTATCTTACATCTCATTCAGAAGACAAGTACCTGATGTGATGACTAAGCCTCTTGTCAGAACTAAGTTTGAAGATTTTGTGAGCAAGCTAGGAATGATCAACATCTATTCACCAGCTTGAGGGGGAGTGTTGGAATTGGGCTTTCATTCTTTGAGCCCATTATCTCTAGGGTTTCTTAGTTTATTATTATTATCTTGGTCAGCTTTATTTTCTAGGATTCAGATTAGTATCTCCTATTTATTTTATTTTATTGAGAGAGGATTTTATGCGATTGTATCAATCTCTCTCTCCCTCTATATATGTACCAGTCAATTCTGTGGAAGAATAAGATATCACACCCTGCATTCTCTCAATCATTAGTGCCTCCTCCTCATCCTTTGGGACATATTCAAAAGTAAAGGAACTAATATATTGCAGGGATAAACTAGAAAGACCTAAAATAATGGGAAAAAAAAAATTTAGGGACCTATACTTAAACCATATAAAATCATAGGGACTAAAAGTTGTATTATCCCAAAACAATTCATTAATTAGAATGATGTTTAATACCATTTTGGCCATCATACTTTAGTTTGGGATGGATAAACTAACAACAAATTCTCAGACGTCAGCTGTTAACTGATCATTTTTGCCACACCCTAAATTAATCTCGTCCAAATATGTCAATACAAAATACCTGAGTCTAGCACAAAGCCGTGCCAGAGCATCTGAGCCAGTTCTAGATGCAACATCCTCAATTTCCAGAGCATTAGATAATGTCAGATTGTCTGCAAGTATAAACTCACACAATTCCTTCAAGGAACATGCATCAGTCAACACTGCTGAATGGCCCCCACCAGCAGCTAGTTTCCGCACTTCCCCAACACACCTACAATACATGTTTTAGCAATACAAGTGGCTTCATGATCATAATGAAGAAGCTACAAAAATATGAATACATACCAGTCAACAGGTGATGGATACCAAGCATATGTATATTTCCCATTGGCAGCTTGGCCATAATTATTATAACCCCATCCATGAATTCTGCCATCCCTTGTGGAAATAAGAGTGTGGCAATGTCCACACGCTGCAAGTTGCACACCTTTTGGAATAACTAAAGCCGGAATATTTCGGAAAAATGCCTGAGAGTCATTAGAAATGCAAGAGAAGAATCCACTCTGGGGCCCAAGGCCTAATTGACCAGCTTGGCCACCACCCCAAGCATAAAGAGCTCCTTCCTTAGTCAAAGCACATGAATGCATGCCACCACACGCCACATTTTTCACAAAAACACCATCAAGGGCAACCACTCGCCTTGGTAGCAGCTCTTTATCTCCATACTGGAGAGAAGAATGCCCAAGTTGACCCATATTTCCAAGGCCCCATGTGTAACTACAAGGTCCAAACAAAATAATCATCATTCAATATCATGGAGTCTCTGATGTGTCAATATCCTATCACCCTCATCATAGAATTGACACAAATGACACGACATAAGTGGCCAAAAAAATACACAGATTTCTCTAGGTATCAAATGGGCAAAAGATAGAAGAACCTTGAACCTTTTTCTTTTCAGAACAGAAGAAACATACTTGGTTGACTATCATCTACAATTATACATCTACATGGAGTCCATACTAATTTATAATTTAGAATTAAAATAAAAAAGAAAGCAAATGAAAGGAGAAAGAAACTGAACAAGCAAATATCCAAACAAACATAAAATTGTACAAAGTTTAACTTTTGCAGAATACGTGAACTAAGAAACAGCTGTTGGTTGAAATGGGTCAAAATTAGAAAGAAATTAGTTCACTTGGGGAGTGCATGCATATTCTTGCTCATAAATATTACTAGTAGAAATAGCTAGCTACTGATAACATAGATGCACGCACACAGTCACCAACATGCCATAATGAATTGCAGCTCAAGATATAGGAACAACTATATCATAATCGTATGTGCATCATTTGCTTATAGAGCTACCCACTTCTAAAATAATTTAACTAGCAACACTAAAACAATTCTGGTATTTCGATTGGATAACAGACTTTTCTATATCATCATAAAATCAATAAAACCGTATAACTCTAGTAAACTATAGCCAAGGGAATAGGGACTTGCATAGTACATGCAGCATTCTTATTGCATCTTGTATCCTGTTGCGAGATTCCCTAATGTGTCATGTGGATAACCACAACTCTCATGCTTATATCTAAAACTATCTCCATCTAGAAAGCCCTTCAAGTCACTTACACCTCGCCCTTGTCAGACATTGCTGCTGTGTGGTACTCGCCACATGACACTTTGGTAATCTTCACAAGTTCCGGGGTTTCGTCGAGGAATTTTGCATAAGCAGTTATTATATGGGCCCTCTGCAATCCTTCACAAGTAACACCTCGGCCAAGTTGACCATACTCATTGTAGCCTGGTTCATGAGAACAGTAACCAAATCCCAAATAAGTACACAGCAAGAAACCCACACAGTAACATAAACGCATGTGCAGAGAGAAATAATAAAAACAGAAAAGCAATTTACCCCAAGCTTGTAATAGACCATCTTCAGACAACGCAACCACATGAGCAGCCCCACAAGACACTTCACAAATTATCTGTATACAGTGCAACGGGAAATGGACAATAAAATGCATAAGCACTCAATGCCATTAACTAAAACTTACATTTCCAAGAAGCTAAGACCCAACATAGGTCCACCGGCAAGTGTGACCCTAACAAAAGCATCAAATCTACTAGAGCTATGTAGCATCATGAAAGTATAATTAAATGTTATAATTCCAATTTTATGAAGTTTAACACAAACCAAGGGGTTTTATTTGTGCATGTTAAATAATTCTCAGTAATTTCATTTTTTATAAAAATCTTAGTAAGGCTACCAAGTGCCAAGTATAAAACAGGATAATACAAAATGCCACAACACAATACAATTGATAAAAGCATATGCATGAAGCTGCAAAAGCAACGATATTCCCTTGGCCTCAAAACCCATTACAACCTATTAATATATTTTGTGAAGACTCACAAGAATGTGGCACATGTTACACTTAATACACAAGTAAAACTAATGAAATAAAAATGTATTAAAAAAGATAAGGCAGAACGCTAAACAGAAGCATCAAGTCTACTAGACCCATGCAGCAATCATATCCAAGAACAGTCAAATGTGAGAAAAATGCATTGAATCTTTTGATAGATTGAGTATATATGTGTGTAGATATAAAAGAAGATTTTCAGACAAAGTCCATTCTCAGCCTTTTTTTTTTTTTTTTGGCTTTCCATTGAAAAATATCATTGCAGTCTCAGATATATTTGCAATCAAATTCAACAAACATGATAAGATAACCAAGGCAACTCAAAATGCTGCATCATTATCCTAACATATGACTAACGTGTTAACTTTCATGAAGCCAAAACATTTGGACACCCATAAATATCCCTACAGTTTGATATACTCAAATACCTTACTTAAAGGCATTGACATAGTAATGCTGCAAACGATGATAATGGAGATGTTGAGTCATTTGCGCACAAGGAAAAGAGTAGATCTGGGAAAGCAATTTGTTGCACAAAATAAAATGAATAATGAAGGGGTTGATGTAGTTGTAGAAGCTCCACAACAAACAAGAAGCTTAACAAGTTCAGAATTGGAACTGCCAGTTTTTCTTGCAAAGATCAAATAGGCTAGATTCTGGTGGTACAAGAAGTTTGATATACTTAAAGGAGCTTCTTCTTGGATTTCATTATTTGTAGCTTATACAAGATTTTGGATGGCCCTCAAGCTAAAAGGTTCAGTAATAAAAAGCAAAGATATAATGTGAGCTGTTGTTTAAGCAAGAATGGAGGCCTAATTTCACATGTATTATTTACAACCAGGTTCAATATATATAAGAGTGATTACAACGGGCCTGCAATTCAAATCCCTATGATCTAGGTCAAAAATGAGGGGAAAACAAACAGATTCTCATATCAAAAACCTAATAAAGACAAAATAAAAAGTCAAGCCAGCCTCTAATAGAAGAACGTACAAAGTAATAATAACATTTAATTACCTGTTGAACTAGAGAATAGATATGTAGTATTTCCAGCAAGCCACTCAATTCTTTTAGCAAGCAAATAAGCTACTTGTCTAGTCTTGAGAGAGTTTTAGTAAGCAAATAAGCTACTTGTCTGCTGATGGGTGCATATGCAAAATCAACTAAGCCTGATTCCATCTTCTCAATAATAAAATGGCAATCAATCAAAACATGCTTAGTTCTATCATGCATTGGAATTTTAGCAATCCAAATAGTAGCCATGTTATAATTTTTAGTTCTATCAACAACTTCTTAATCCACATTCCCTAACATATGCCTAGAGCTAAGCCTTTATATTCAGCTTCAGCATTACTTCAAGTAACTATTGGTTGCTTCTCACTCCTCCTTTTGACAAGACTGCCACATACAAAGGTGCGATACCCAGTGGTAGACCTTTTGTTAGTTACAAAGCCAGCCCAATCTACAACAGGATACACTACAATACCTGTAGATTCACATTTCTTGAAGAACAAGTCCTCTCTTGGTATCATCTTGAGATACTTAAGAAATCCAAATATAGCTTCCATATTCTCTTCCTATGGCTTCACTTTGCAATTCAGATGTTGAATGCTTTCTTGATCACTTGTAATCATAATGTAATCGACTTATGATTAGGATTGTAAGTTTACTATTAAGTACATGTACACAAATAGTGTATGAATCATTTTACACTAAGTGTCTAAAAAGCTTGACAACTCTCGTAAAGCTATCAAATTGAACCAAGGATAACTGCTTCAAACCATATACAGTGACTTGTATAACCCTACAAACCTTAATAGAATGCTTGGTATCCCTCAAGCTCAGTGGCATCTCCATATACACTTTTTCCTAGCCTCCATTTAGGAAGGCATTATTAAGCATAAGTTTGACAGGATCTAAGATAGGTAGAGAGAAAAATGGAACAAAAATCTTTATTAAAATATGAAATCAAAATCTAACTTCATAAATTAATAAAGATAAAGGAAAATCTTTAATAGAAGATGAGTAAGAATCTTAAACTCATCCAACTAATAAAGCCAAAGGAAAATCTCCACTGATAAAAAATAATGATTTTACTTCCGGATGCTTTCTACATGTTGTGCCTCAATATTTATAGATAGAAAAATGACTAATAATTTGTAAAAATACTCCCATTAATCCATAACTTAGATAATGGGGCATAACTACCTGAAAAATAAATAATTAAGTAAATACTAATTTAATCTCCAAGTACCATAACCTACTACTCCTAAACTTAAGGGCCGCTCAACAAAACAGATAATAATCTAAATAATATATTAAATAGAAAACATCTAAAATAACTTAAAACTAATATTTATTCCTAATATTTCTCTAACCCCCCATATTATCTATTATCCCACCATAATCAATATTCTATCAATCAAAGTTGATACAACGGTAATCTAAATTGGTAGCCAAAGGAAGTAGAATTTTTATGGTATTGAATTTGGCTACAAGAGAAACTGTTTCCTTGTAGTCAATCCCATGAGTTTGGTTAAAGCCTTTAACCATTAGTCTAGCATTATATCTGCTAATGCTTCAATTTGAAACCCATTTCCACCTTGCCAAAAGCTTTCCATAAGGTAGATCAGTTTTCTTCCAAGTCTAATTCTTCCCAGAGGCTCTTAATTATTCTTGAACGGATTCATTATATTTTGGATCCTTTAATGCTTCATGAAAATTCATAGAAAAATTTTCTGAAAACAATAGAGTAACAAATGCCTGTAAGTTTGGCGATAGCCTTTCACAGGATACAAACTTGCTCACTGGATGCTAGGCGCATGTGCTCACTCCCTGCATTGGTGTTATTGGCTAGCTCCGGTCCTTCCTCACTCCCTTCCTTAGTGCTCGCAAGTTGAGGAATGTTGATGGGCTTATTTGGAGTTGATTCAGCTGCACTGATTTCTGTGAATGTCCTTCCTTTTTCCCTGTTATAGACAATCAAATCCTTAGCACTAGATTTATCAACCTAGTCTCAGTATCCTTCTCTGGTAACTTTCTTTCTTTGTTTTTTTTTTTTTCCATGCATCCAGATCTGTTTTCACAAGGTTCCATGGGTTTAGGACCAGGTACAGGTTTGTCTTTGCAAAATAGGGGTATTTTCAGATATGGAATTTTTTACGATAAGGAGAGGATGCAGCATCAGAACCAGCAACTTCCACGTTATTTTTAGACCCAAAATATATCCATTCTATTGCACCATTAGATAATGGCTCATTAACCACAGGTCCAACACATTCACTATCAGACTCCTTCCATTGGATGGGTAATTTTGGGCAATAAGGGAAAGTGATGTGTAAATAGATAATTAGAGGATAATTAATTCAGATACGGTTAGTTACCATTATACCATTAAGCCTATCCTAAGGGAACCTATATAAACAAACTCTATGTAATTCATCAATATGTTTTTGAAATAATAATTCCTAAATACTATTCAGAAATTCTCTCTCTTTCCTTCTATCTCTCTCATCTCTCTCCTATTCTTCTCTATTCTTTCCCATTCTACTCATCAGTGGAATCAGAGCTGGTGATGCTCGGCCTGCATGCCTAAAACAAGATCACAGAGATTGCAACATACCATGGCAGATAACAGTAAGGACCGACTTCGTGCACTGGAAGACGCCTTTGCCAAGCTGGCTAATCTCCCAAGTGACATCCAAGCTCTCACCAACCAAGTTTCTTAGATGGTACGTGATCGTACTGATACATCCGATGAAGGAAGGGCCAATCATAACTAGCGCAGAGGACGACCAAAACCAAAAAACTAGGAGTACTAGCCTCGCACGCGTTTTACAAAAATGGAGTTTCCCATATTCCAAAGAAGTGATATCTTGGGATGGAACTTTAAGTGTAAATTCTATTTTCAAATAGATAACACACCTAAAGATTGGAAGGTGCTTATGGCAAGTTTGCACCTTGATGAGAAGGCGTGACAATGGCATCAAGGACTCACTACGTCAGACGAAGGTGGCTGAAGGACTTGGGAGGAATATGTGGAAGAACTGAAGCAAAGGTTTGGACCTACCTATGAAGCTCCAATGGAAGATCTCATGAAGCTTCGACAAACAGATTCTCTTGAGGAATTCGATGATGAGTTTGATACCATAGCCTACAAGATCAGACTTTTGGAAGACTATCTTGTTCAAACGTATACAACGGGCTTGCAGGAAGAATTTGCAGCTCAAGTTCGGATGTTTAAGCCAAGAACGTTACAAGAAGTACGAAATATAGCACGTACGCACAAGGTAAATCACCACAAAGCACAGACGAAGACGCGTGGCACAGATTCGAGATAGCGTCCGCTTCAGTGGGGTCGAAACTCAGAGTCGAGACTGCAAAGGGGTGTCTTGGATACTTATCCAAGTGAATAGAAAGGATTGGCTTGGTGGAGAGATGCGAAGACTCCATCTGGCAGTGTTGGGTCTTCTTTTAAGAAGGGTAAAACGGTCCAGTCTTCTAATTCTCTTTTTTTCGCACCCAAGACAGCTTCTTTTGCCTCTGTTTCTTCTCACGCAGGTGCTGGGTCTTCAAGGATAAATGCCAGCAACACACAAACGTTGACCCCAGAAGAAGTAAAGGAATTACAGGCCAAAAATTTATGTTTCTATTGTCAGCAACCTTTTTCCAAGGACCATATATGTTCTCAGACTCAAAGAATGCAATTGCAACTCATTGAATTGGAAGGGGAGGAGCTCAAGGAAGCTGACGAGGACATGAATCTAGAAGTTGAAGCACCAGAAAAATTCGAATACGTACCAAAGCACTCTGAATGTTTGCAAATTTCACTACATGCCATACAAGGAAGTGTGGGTCCCTCGGCTATGAGAATTCCAGAATATTTGGGTCAAAGGCAAGTACAAATTCTCATAGATAATAGAGCTTTTCATGCTTACATGAACTGTGACTTGGCCAGGAAGCTTGGGTGGAAGGGTGATTTCAAGCCTGTGGCAGAAGCGGAAGTGGCAGGGAGTGGAAAATTAAAAGTATATGAGATTTTAAAGGGGGTGAAGTGGAAGATGCAGGGTGAAGAGTTCGAAGGGGACTTTCAAATAATGGAAGTCAAGACCTATGACATGATTTTAGGTTTATCTTGGCTTAAAACCATCCATCAAGCTCATTGGGATTATGACAAACTGTCTATGACCTTCTAGTATAATGGAAAAATATGTAAATTGCAGTCTCAAGAATCTATAGGGTGTAAAATTGTTGAATTTAACAAGATTGAAAATGAATTAGAAGCGGGAGGACAGATGTTTTATGCTGCAATTAATAGAAAAGGAGGATGAAGAGCTGTGTTACTTTCAATTGCAGGGGGAGAATGGTTCTGAAAAAGCTGTTCAAGGATTGTTATTGGAATTTTCAGATGTATTCAAGGAGCCTAAATCTCTTCCCCCTTTGAGAGAGGGCCACAACCATCCTATTATTCTACAAGAAGGTTCTGATCCAGTCAATTTAAGGCCTTACCAATATCCAGCAGCTCAAAAGAATGCCATTGAAGACATGGTGAAGGAGCTATTACAATCTCGAATCATTCAAGAAAGTAGCTTACCATTTTCTTCACCAATTGTGTTGGTGAAAAAGAAAGATGGTTCATGGCGCATGTGTATCGATTATAAAGAACTTAACAAGAAGACAATCAAGAATAAATACCCTATTCCGCTTGTGGAAGAGCTTTTGGATGAATTAAGGGCTGCTAAATGGTTCATTGAGCTGGATCTAAGGGCTGGTTATCATCAGATTCGAATGGAGCCTACAGACATCTATAAAACAGCCTTTTGTACTCATTCAGGTCACTATGAGTGGTTAGTGATGCCTTTTGGGCTCACTAATGCAGCCGCGACTTTTCAGGGGGCCATGAATAGTATATTCAGGGAGTATTTACAAAAATTAGTCTTAGTTTTCTTTGATGATATTTTGATTTATAGTCCTTGTTTAGAATCTCACACACGAGACTTGCGGTTGGTTCTAGAAACTCTAAGGAAAAATTGTTTTTTTTGTGAAGGAAAGCAAGTGTACTTTTGCTACAACACAAGTAGAATATTTGGGACACATTATAAGTGGAGGAGTTGTCTCAACCGATCCCTAGAAGATCAAAGCGGTCATGGATTGGCTTGAACCAACCACAGTAAAACAACTAAGATCATTTTTGGGACTTGCCGGTTATTATAGGAGGTTTATTAGGGGTTATGGTTCCTTAACTAAGCCCCTAACTGAACTGCTCAAGAAGAATAATTTTCAGTGGTCAGAATTGGCTGCTGTTACATTCAAAAAGTTGAAAGAAACACTGGTGGCAGCCCCCGTTCTTGCTCTTCCAGATTTTTCACAAGTGTTTGTAGTTGAGACTAATGCTTGTAGCTCAGGCATTGGTGCTGTTCTGATGCAAAAAGGTCAACCTATTGCCTTTTTCAGCAAGGCTTTGGCTCCTAGACATCTGAATCTCTCTATCTATGAGAAGGAATTGTTGGGGGTAGTACAAGCTGTGGAACATTGGCATCAATATCTTGCAGGAAGGCGGTTTATCATTAAAACTGATCAGCAAAGTCTTATACTTGTTAGATCAGAAGCTTAAAACTGCATTTCAAATGTATTGGGTGACCATACGATTATGAAATACATTATAGAAGGGGCAACGACAATAATGCAGCTGATGCCCTTTCAAGGATGCCAAAAAGTGAGTTTTTCAAAGTATCTTTGCAGACTTGTTCAAATTTCCTTTTTCTGGAAATCCAAAAGAGCTAGGATGAGGATGTTGATTTGCGAGCTTTAAAAGCTCATTTGCAACAGAAGGGAGGTGTAGAAGGAAATTATTCTTGGGATGGTCAGCATTTAAGAAGGAATGGCAGATTAGTGGTGGGAAATATTCCTAATGTAAGGTAGAAAATATTGGAATGGCTTCATGCAAGTCCACAAGGAGGACATTCAGGGGTACAAGCTACTTATCAAAGAGTCAAAAAGTTGTTTTGGTAGCAAAAATTATTTGATGACATCAAGGAGTTTGTAAAACTCCGCCTATGTTTATAGCCAGTCCCAAGCCCGGGTAAAGGAGGAGGGTTGTGTTAGGCCATCAACAGCCAATGTAAAACTTTGTTGAATCTATCATGAACATGGACAATAGACGTTATAATGTTAATGCTAGGTCGTTGCCCGTAAGTAACGCGCTGCATGGCTCGAGTACAGTAATAAGTGAGTTAGAGCCGCTGCATCGGCGCCCGGATGTAGTGTTAAATGAGCAAGGGCTACCGCGTCATTCTAGACGCACACGGCTAAAGAAGTTAGTCCATGAGAGCAAAATTAGATTTGGCACCTGGAATGTTAGGACATTGAATTGTAAATCTGTAGAGGTTGTCGGGGTTATGATTCAAAGGAAAATCAATATCCTTTGCCTGCAAGAAACAAAATGGCGTGGAGAAGAAGCTAAGGATATTCAAGGTTTCAAACTTTGGTATACAGGAAAAGTAAGTGCACGCAATAGAGTAAGCATCATTATAGATAAGGAGTGGAAGAAGAACGTTGTAGAAGTTAGCAGAATTGGAGATAGATTTATTTCCTTAAAAATGATAATTGGACGTGAGACTGTTAATATTGTTAGCGCTTATGCGCCGCAAGTCGGGACAGAAGTCAGTCTTAAGGAATTATTTTGGGAGGATCTGGAGGGGTTGATTCGACACATACCACAGAGTGAAAAGATTTTTATTGGAGGAGACTTTAATGGGCATGTCGGGAGAGAAGCTGGTCAGTATGCGAGGGTGCATGGTGGTTTTGGTTTTGGAGAGCTAAACAATGAAGGACAAACTCTTCTTGATTTCTCATTAGCGTATGATTTTAAGATTGCCAACACTTATTTCAAGAAGAGAGATGAGCATCTCATCACTTACAAAAGTGGAGTCTCAAAGTCACAGATTGATTTTCTTTTGGTTAGGAACAC